AAGAGAAAATGCAAATTGAAGCGCAAAAAATTTCTCACAAGTCTGTACATTCAATTGTTTAGGGTAACTTGCGAGAATGTCTCTAAAAAGTCTTCCAACTCTTTGAGGCGAGTCTCATACACAGATCTTTCTTCATCTTCATGATTTAGTACCCATTTTAACTCGTCCCTGCCACGTTCCTGCACCTTCGCCTTGTCATCGATACTCAGCTGGGAAAACTGAAACTTTAGTAACAGTTGGGATTATCCATTGAGCGATTAGCTTACAATTTGCATACAAAACTGTGGATAACTATTGATACTTAAAATATGTAAAAATATTAACAAGAAAAAATTACCCTTGCTTCTGTGGCTTCCTGCATTTTATACGAGAACTTTCTCAATGCCTCAAGGCTTTGGTGGGTTCGCTCAAATTCCGCATCTTCGTTGGCGTTTTCAATGGCGCTGCGAAGATTACTTTCGATGTCTCTCTAAAATAAAAATCGATGTCTCTCTAAAATAATCAAAATTTAGGTCTCGTTATCTCGGATCCGAAAAGCGCTCAAAAATTTGAAAGAGTTTTTCTCTAATTTTTAAAGCAAAGGAGTATAAAACGCATTGTATCTTTTTACAGGAGCATTAAGCATTAAATTAGCATTAAATTCAAGTATTTGTTTTTAACTTCGAATTTGAAGATAGAGATTGCTCTTCAAAGATAGAGATTGATCACATTTGAATAATTTTGCGACTCCTTTCAGATCAATAAATTTCTCTAGGTTCTATTTCAATCAAAACTTTCAAGTTTCCTTTGTCAACACTCCCAGAAATGGTCAAAGATTGCGGTTTAGAGAGCTCATTTTGAAATTTTGACTTGTAAAGTAGCCCAAATCTATTATCATTACTCACCACATCTCTGGTGTTTGTGCTTTTCTCGATTTTCAACGAATTGCTTTTCCCCGAACAGAGCTCTTCGGCGGTGACCTCCAGAATGCCATTCTCATCTAGCGAGAACGTCACATCCACGGTCGTCTCTCCTTGCTTGGCGCTTGTGACTTCGATGGTAAATTGACCAAGTAAATAGTTTAACGCCGCCCTTTTTCGTTCTCCTTGATAAACCTGAACTTGTATTGTTTATTTTTGACTTTCCCAAGCAAGCAATACTTTGAATGACATTGTCGTTTGCCAATCCCTGCACGCAATGTGATTTTTCGTAATTCGTGCTGGTATCGGCGTGTTCTTGGGAATTGCGACAGAAAAAAGATTGCCGAACACTTCAATGCCAAGTGAAAGAGGAGTGACCTCTTTGAAGACAAGATTCCGGATTTTTTCGTGTTGATCACCGGAGATCTTTGCCGCCTGAAAAAGTTATCTCTGTATTCACATACGGTTTGTTAGATCATACTTGTATAGCTGCTCCATAAGCAACCACTTCATCAGCGTTCAGAGATGTGTTTAGCTCTTTGTTGTCCAAGAGTTCGCTCAACATCTTTCGCACCTTTGGGATCCTGCTTGAGCCGCCAACCATCAATATCTCATCAATCTAAATGGTGTCAGGGTTATTTCAACATCATTTTACGAGCTAGGCTAAGGCTAGGAGCTGGTCTGGGCAACGCTGGTCTAGATTTTGGTATTGCTGATCGGGTTTGGCTGGCACACAAGTCTTTAGATTCATCAGAAGTTGGGCTCAAGCCAGGCTAGCTTTTTGTCTGGTCATGACTTAGCCTTGCCTTACCTGATCTGACATTTATTTAAGTTCTAGAGTCCAATTGGAACATCGCTGGTAACATTATACTCACTTCAGCAGCCGTCAAGTTCGCATCACTCATCGCTTGCTTCACTGGTTGGAGTGCTCGCTCAAAGATCTCTTCGCAAATGTTCTCAAACTTTGCTCGACTAATCGACACTTTGAAGTCTTTCCCGAGCACCAATGAAGGAACATTGATTTCAGCCTATAATTGAACTTATTAAAATTGGTTCAAATTTGCTACCTTTGTTTCTGATGATAATTGGATCTTTGCCAATTCACATTGGAGGTAGAGACGCATGACAGCTCGCTTATTTCCATCAAGAATGAATCCTTTCTTTGAGGCAATGCTTAAAACGTGCTCCAAAAGCTTGTTGTTCAAATCCTCTCCACCCAAATGTGTATCTCCACTAGTGGCTTTTGTCTCGAAAGTGCCATTGTGAGCGGTGATGATGGAAACGTCGAGGGTTCCACCTAAAGATTGTATAGCTTTCAAAGATCTCCATGAATAGATGTTCAAAGCGTATCATTCAGGTATTCGGTTATCTGTCCGTTATCTCTAAAGCATTAGTTACAATATTCTGGTATGCCAAAGTCAAGAGTGTTTAGACAGCAACCAGTCGAACTAATAGTACCTAACTTGAAGGAACACAAGACAGGAGTATTCAGCATTTAAGGAACATCCAACATGTTAAGTAGCTAAAACTAAGTATGACTCATTTTTGGGACGAACATGGACAGTCAGCTGTACGATAAAGGACAATCGCCTAGTCAAATTGATTGACGAACCTCCAAAGTCGAACACTAGAAAGGTTCTTGGTTTTTCGGATCGATTATTGATTCCATAGGCAATTGCAGCAGCCGTTGGCTCATTCACAATTCTCAGCACTTGTAAGCCAGCCTCTTCAGCTGCAAGAATCGTTTCATTGCGTTGAGAATCATTGAAATAAGCCGGGACTGTGATCACAGCTTTTGTGAGCTCTCGATCAAGAAATCCTTGTGACAATTCCTAAAACTTTTCAAGTTACCTTGGAAGTACAAATCGTCCGAACCTTCAACTTTTTCAGTATCATTCCAGAGATTTCTCTTGACGTGTAAACATAATCCGTGCAACTTCTCGTTACTTTGATTCTTGGTTCATTTTCCACGTCAACTACTTCAAAAGGCACGTGCCTCATTTCTTGTTGAACGACTGGATCATTGAACTTTCTGCCAATCAATCTTTTTGTGTCTGAAAACTTGTATTTGATTTGGTTATACCCAAGCCAAGAAGAAGACTCAGCTTTCTTAATCTTAGCTTGCCCAGCTTAGCCACTGAAGTTGCTCTTTTTTTTCCAAAAACACTCTTTCTGGAAATTCCCCGTCAATAGTTTACAGGCTTCCATAGCACAAAGAGATAGCCCAAAACGACTTCCATCATTCATTTTCTACAACCTATCGCCCAGACTTTAGGGAATTTCTCCGGCTCATCGGTGAAATAATCAAATGGAGATCCATCTGTCCAGGTTTCCAAACCAATCCCGCTCAATCCAAAGTAACTAGTAAACACCTTTACTTAAAACATACCGTAGATTGTATTCCCAGAATTCCTCGTGGCTTGCTGCCTTGCCGCTTCTCCCACGAGAATCTCGGTATCAGTGAAAGCAACTTGCGATGGAGTGGTTTGTTTTCCTAAAACTGGTACTGGTAATGAGCTTGATTTTCTGACTTTTTTTTGGATAATTCCACATCAAACTGCTTTAGAAACAGCAACAGACTTACCGTATTCATTTGGAATGATCGTCACCTCTCCATCCACACAGACACCAACACAGGAATACGTGGTTCCCAAATCGATTCCCAACACAACTGGCTTGCCAGTGATTCTAAACCGTGATTTGTTACCATACTTAAACCTAGATTTGTTACTAATTTCATAATATTAGTATTGGGTTGGTGAATTGAAAACTGCGGGCTATTTCGCGGGACTCGCAGATAGAGAAAACAACAACATAAAGCCAGCTGAAAGGGGGGGGGTTGTTTACTTCAACATTTCCTCTAATTATTGCTAAAAAATTATACTTCCAGCTTTTTTCAGACAATCTGCCACCGGGACATATTCGCCATGTCGTGCTTCATGAGTTCCTACAAGAGCACAGTGCAGGCTTGACAGCTGCTAATATTAAAAAGATATATGGCGAGGACTCACCCTCCGAAAGAACGTGTCGAGTATGGTTTGCCAAGTTTCGATCTGGGGATAAATCTTTGAAAGATGCAGAGCGCCGTGGAGCGGCACCCCAACTGGATGATTCCAAATTACTCGAACTCATTACCAACGACCATCAGGTATCATCCCGTGAATTGGGAGGAGAGTTAGGGGTTGATCATGTTACAGTGCTAAGGCACCTTCATACCCTTGGATTTAAATCGAAACTTGGGACTCGAGTGCCCCATGACCTCACTGTCCCCCAGAAGTGGCAGCGCGCCTCGATCAGTGCCATCCATCTCTCACAATACAAAGGGAAATCTTTTCTTTCTCGAATTGTGATAGGAGATGAGAAATGGGTTTTATCTGTGAACTTTCCGAGGAAGTGGCAATGGGTGGGGCAGTGAACAGTTGGGAAAGGTGAATGAATCCCTGAAGAAGAATAGGCCCTCCAAGTCAAGGATGGTTCGCCTCCACGACAACGCGCCCTCATGTTGCAAAACTGACTCGATCTAAAATAAACAGCCTTGTTTGGGAGCTTTTGGCGCATTCCCCATACAGTCCGGACCTCGCCCCTTTTGATTACTATTTATTCCGGATCATGAGTAATGAGCTTGCGAGAGAACACTTCGATTCGGAAGAAGTAGTCAAAAATGGGCTTTGAAAGTCTTTCGATTCAAAGCCAAAATCCTACCACGAAAGAGGAATCCGCAAAATGCCTGCAAAATGGGAAGAAGTCGTCAATAATAATGGAAATTATTTGGAATGCATTTATGGTTTTATGTTGAATCAATTTTAGTTCAAAGTCGCGCAGTTTTCAATTCACCAACCCAATAGTTCTAGTTATAATTAAGTTATTAGAACATGTACTATTCAAACAATACCGATTTTTGGCCTCTTCCTTATCTTTTTCCCGTCTTTCATTGAACGCTTTCAAATTCGCTTCGAGTCCGTTCTTCAAATTTTCATATTCTTCTTTCTCAATCATTCGCCTCGTTTCATCTTCTTCTAATCGTCTTTTTTCGCTTTCTTGATACAGCTGCATGTCTTGTTTTGATTTATCTGAAAAGGAGATAGCTCATTTTTATTCTCAAACCATACCCAGCGATTGTTGCAACCCCAGAATCAGTCGTCGTGTCTTCTCGGCATCTTTCTGTTGTTGTTTCTCTTTTTCAATGGCTTGCGCTTCTTTCCGAGCTGCTTCCAATTGTCGTTCTTCATTCACTTTGTCCTTTTCTCGCAACTGGTCAGCACTTGCTCTCAAAATTCCAATTTCTTGTCGAATGAGTGCTTCATTCAATTGTTGTTCTTGTTCTTTGGCATGCATTTGTTTTTCGATCTCTTGGGTTTTCAGGAGAGCGCCAGCGATCATCTTGAACTCTTGGTCGACTCTCTAAAATTGGTTCAGTATTTGAATTTTTTAAGCTCTTCAAGAATTGGTACGTGTTAAACTTGTATAGTAAATAGCTAATGTTACAGGCAGACTGGAAAAACTAAAACTGACTCCGAAACTCGATGTAAACGCCTACATGATAGGCAAATCCAGCACAAGCTCCTTCTTATTGTAAGAATCCCACCTTGATCATGAAATCCAATGCCTTATCGTTTATTGTCTCCAAATATTGATCCACTTCCTCAAACGCCAATTGTGGAAACTCCTGTTGAATTTGGGTGAGCAAGTTGTTTTTCTCTTCCAAAATGTTGTCAGTCAATTGATTTCTCGCCTCTTCGATAGACTTCTCGATTTCCTCCGGTTTTGTGATCTCCGATTGTTTCTGAAAAGCTTGAGCTACAGTTCGACTTCAACTAAAGCTTCCTACGCACCGCAGCAAAAGCTACCCTAATCCAACAGATTGCCAATGGATTGACTTGTTTAGTTGTTTAAATTTCCAAGACGGTAACTTTATGGTACGAGAGTTAGGTACGGTAACTTTATGGAGGATTTTTGGAAAACACTTTAATCTTTATTTCAAGTTACCATCATCAAGAAATCCCGGTACTTGTTCACAACGAGATCACAGAGCTCTCTACCCTTTTCACGAATGCTTTGCATCGAGTTTTCTCGCAAAATATCAAATGATCGATTCTAAAACTGTTTTCAAAATGGAAACGATTAGCTTAAACCTCAATCAACTCGACTAATTTCATTCGCTTTTTGATAGCCAAGTCTGTGTCCATCAAGAATTCGTTCGTTTCTGGAATTTAGAACAAGGTTCAAAGTTGGTCAAAGATTATTTAAAGAAATATTCAACTCACCCTTGTCAAACAAGCTCAACGCTTTCTTGTAAGCAGCTTGGTGTTGCTTTTGAATGTTGTCGAAGGATCGCTGTTCAAGGATTTTCATGAAAGTTGGCTGAAAAGTTGTTCAATTTTAAGGCTAAAGATTGATTAGCTAAAGCTAAAGCTCTTACTTGACTTTCTTTCTCATAAAGTTGAATGGCCGCCTCGTAAGCTGATGCGATTTTCTGATCTCGATACTTTTCATCATTGAACGTTTTCTTGTCCTCACATTTTTCCTGGATGAATGATTGATGAACTAAATAAAAAGTCACTAACCATCAATTCGGAAAGGAAATTGTTGAAATGCTCTTGTCGGCTTTCTTCACTTCCGTATCGCACCACACTCAAATAGGCCTAAATAGAGATTAAAGTACTGGAAAGGAATTTAGTTTTAACTAGGGAAAAGAGCTGTAAGTATCAATTAGTCGGTACAGTAAGTTGAAAACTGAAATTGGTTCTTTTGATCAGTGGAAAGCAGCTATGAATAACCGATTGGCCAATGATTCTGAGGTCAACAAGAAAGATGCGCTTACGTTCTTCGCTTGTTCAAGTATACTCTTTGACTCAGCCGCAAACTCTCTCGGTGCAATCGGTTGAAAGTGGTGGATCTGGTTGAACTAAATCAATTATGATATCTGAAAATCAATTCAAAGCTTACTCTATTCCATCCATCTTTGAAAGCCGCTTTGCCGCCTTTCTTCGCTGCATCAAAAGCCATTGTTTTCATCGCCTAAACTTTTAGCAATCTAACTCTAACAAAATGAAATTCACGTCAAACAGTGTTCCGATTTTGTTCCTTCCTTTAGACTTCATCTTTTCAAATACATCCTAAAGTTGATTTTTATTTTTTGATGAAGTGTTACTACCTTTGCATATGATTTCAAAGTTGATCCAGTTAGAGTTACACCTTGAACAGTTTTTGGTTCGAGATTTTGGATGAGGTAGTTGGCAGCATCTGCCAAGCAATCAAGGCAGTCTTTGCCGACATCTAAATGTAAGAATTGAAAACTATTACTGACTCTACTACTCGTTTCGCACTACTGCTTATGAAATATGCTTTAAGCCTTGAAACATGAACAGCTCAAGGTCAGGTGAACTCAGGATTGATTGTTAGCCAAGCCAAGTCATACCAGGCTAGCCTCAGATTGAAATGGATTATAGACCACAAAACCGTATTGTTAGGTAGATGATCAAGCTTTAGAATTGCTTGCTCAAAGAAATTTTTAGGCCATTTGAAACTGAAATCGATCAAAGTTCTCACGATCAGTTTGTATGTAGTACTAAGTATAAGAGGCGAACAGTAAAAATTCTTTTTTAAGTCTTCAAAACGCACCAGCTGCCTTGATCTCCATATCAGCATCGACCAGTTTTTTATCGGGACGTGGCACCAAATAGCACTCGGTCTTTAGGAAGGCTCTCATTACCCCATCGATCAGCTCGTGTGTCTTCAAGGCTCGTCTTGACCCTTCCTGAAAAAAACAAAAATTCTAAAAGCCGACCGATCTACCGTAATCCTTGTGAGAAAACGCGGTGTCAATCCCTTTCCAATTGGCGCGTCACGAATGAGAAAGAAAATGTGCTAAAAAGATTTTGACGGATCAAAAACATTACTCACTTGGCCAACACTATCCCCGCTGAGGTCACTGTAAGCAATGAATTGATTCAAAGCATCGAAATCTTGTAGATCGAGATTACTTTTGGTGTTGAATACCTGCATTCTTTCATTTTTCTACTAAAATTTTGTACGCAATGATTTGTTTTTGCGTCAAAACTTGGACCTTACTTGGATTGATGACAAAAGTAAAGAAACAGCAAAGTAGTTGATTGACTGATCAATGTCGGACTCGTTGTCAAAAGTTCCTTGAGTGTCGACAAGGAGAATGGCAATCTGAATCGTGACGTGGTTTTCCTATTTTGTTCAACGATGTTCAACGATCTCACTACAGTACTTGCATGTTCACGAAAAGTATTTCGTTATTCTGTTTTATGAAAAGTATTTCAACAAGATTAAAAATCTTTCCAGCTAGTGAAAAGATCGGATTTTAGAAGGATCACAATCCAGTCTTTTATCTTTTAACGTTTAACTTGCAAAACAATTTCGCTAAAACTTCTAAGTTGTTCATTTTAATGTTTGTTCTGGCCAATCTTCCCCAACCTCTTCTCCAAATTTATCCCTTCGAAAGAAGACTTTAGGCCAAACCAGGATCCCTTTTGTGTCAGCGACATAGCCGTTCTTGAAAGGGATCCCATCATAACCCCTAAAAAAACTGTAGAAACTTGTAAACTTGTAAACTTACCCAATACTTTCATGACTCAGAAATCGAGCATCACCATTCCTTAGCACTCTCAGTAGAAAGTTCAGGAAGAAGGTTTTCCCGCCTCTCGGCTTCCCAGCAACGGAGATTATTCCAACCTGGAAATAGTTATTTAAAGCAATGAAATATCTCGTTATTTTGTATTACAGTCATATTGAAAACCTTATGCTCTCCAATTTGTGCCGTTATCCTTTCAAGTAGTAATTCATCATATTGAGCCACTCCTTCGCTGTTCATCTCATAGAGAAGTGCCATGCTTGTCTGGGGCTGAAGTGAATAAAATCTAGAGATACGCTAATTCTATGTTTATCTACCATAGTATTCCTGGATACACGTATTCCCTGACAGGGTTGGATACCTTCAAGATCGAATAAAGAATAGGAAGGTGTTTAGGTGTACAATCTTGTTTTCCAGTATGCTGTAGTGTGGTCAGTTAACTTTTTACTTAGTTTACTGGAACTTACAGTGAGTTTATTTTAGTTGCCGGATTCAAATGGACAGTAGAAAATGCATTAAAATATAGAAATAGGCAATAGATTGCTAGTGGACTTATTTCTAAAGTTAAAAACAAGTACCTAACTTCAATTACAGTTTGCGATGTACCAGAGTTTACAATAGTTCTATTGAAGACTTAGAAATGTATGATTTTATTGTAATCTATACATTTATCAATCAATTCCCAGTCTCATACCTATTCATACGTATCTTACCTACCAGGCTCATACCAATTATTGCAAACCAAACTCTTGTAGTTAGTTTAAATTACGTCGGCTAGATCAATCAACTAGATCACCACTCTCCAGCCTCTACTTCATCCCTGCCCAGTAACCAAAAAGTCCATCTGAGCTTATTGCTAATTTCTTCGCACATTTTACAAATAATACTTATATTTTTTTTTTTTCCCCCCCCCCCCCCATATAGGGGGGGGGGGGGGGGTTTTTTATTTTTTATATTTTTTTTTTTTCCCCTTTTTCCTTGTTTCTCTCCCTTTTTAAAAAAATAAAAAAAAATTTTTTTTTTTTTTTTTTTTTTTAATAAACCCTTTTTTTAAAAAAAGGCCCATTTAAAAAATAAAAAAAAAAAAAATTTTTTGCCTCCCCGCCCCAAAAGGGGGGGGGGGTAATATTAAGTATGTACGGTAGATACATTAGCAATATTCCTAGTTCAATACCCACCTTGATATCTGCGCTAACTTCAAAGAAATCCTCTAAGTCCGATTCATTTGGTGCGACAGTGTCTTCCATGATTAAGGCTCTTACTAACAATAAACGATTCAAAACTAAAATAATTAATTTACAAGATCAATCACTTGAAAGAAAAATTATGAAGGTGCAATTTGGTTGCGAAAAGAATTTTCCTTATCTTTTCGATTTTTCGAGCGATCCTTTGGGGTGTTTTCTCTGACATAACAATATTCGTTTGCGAAATTTCGATGGTGATAAAATCACCCGATTTGGGCAAGAAAAATAGTGCCAAAGAGTTCTCAAAATTTTGAGCCAGCAAAGCTCAGGGGAAGATTAAATAAAATCTAACTCTGCTGAAACTAGTAGTTAGAGTGTAATGTTAGCTGAATGTCTGTGTAACCTTTGTATTTTGAAGCTCCTCAAAGCTTGATCGTAAAATTTGCGAATTGATAAATCTTACTTGAAAATGGTCTTTTAATCAATCGGAATCGATTTTTAGTTTACAATAAGCAAAACTCAATCGACTGAAGTCGAGATTTCAAATCGTTTTGTTAAATGATGTGACTTACAGGGTAACCAAGAATTACTGCAACAACGTCGTATTATATTATGAGCCCCATTTCACTTTTTGCCTACCTGTTTTTATGGTTTTTGTGTATTTTTCTTATTTTATGGTATGATTACTAACTTTCAATACATTAGTATGGTTGTTTTGAGGAATGATGAAAGCGTCTCCACATCGACAATCGATCCTTGAGCTCAAGCGGCAGCGTGTTCAGGCGAGCGAGATCTCAAAGCGCCTGAATGTCCCCAGAAGCCTCGTTTCTCGAACCATTCAACGTTATGAAACTCTGGGCACAGTTTCTGATCGCCCTGGAAGAGGTGCAAAACGAACAGCGGTTACTCCGGCCAATGCCAAGAAAGTTCGCGATCGTCTAAGATTAAACCGGAACCAATCGGCTCGAGGAATGGCACAGAAAATGGGTCTGAAGAGAAGCTCCGTCAACACAATCATCAAGAAAAAGCTGAAAATGAAGCCGTACAAGAAGAACCTACAGGGTGCGCGCCATAATTACCCGCACAACATTTTATAGGCAAGCCCACATTGTTAAAATGATTTTTTCCCCTATTTTTACTGGACAACATTCTTTTGTAGTTCTTCTATCTGTTTTATTTCGTAATTCATTTGAAGTTTTTGGGTGAACGTAAAATGGTGAAGCCATCGGCAAGTCGAGGGGCGAGACTCGATCTTCATCAAAAGGGCGTTTCTCCACCCGACATCATTCGAGGACTCAAACTGCCTCGGCGTACGGTTTATGATGAAATCGCACGTGGAACGCTTAAGGACCGTCCAAGAACAGGAAGAAAAGTTACCGTCATGGCCAACAGGCTCTAGAAAATTTTCAAGAAACGAAGAAACATTCGAGGCTTAGCAAAAGATCTAAAAATTCCCGAAACTTCGATGAGACGACTTGTTAAAGAGAAGTTGAAGTTGGTTTCGTACAAATTATAAAGGAAGCAGTCGATTTCCGACCCTCAGAAAAAGAAAAGACTCGATCGGTGCAAGATGCTTCTCGCAAGGGACGTTCGTGCTGAACATCGCACAACTCTTTTTACGGATGAAAAACTCTTCACAATCGAGCAATTTCACAACGCTCAAAATGTTTGGATACTCGCCAATAGCTCTGCAGATGCTGATAAAATTGGAAGAACCGTCAAGAAAACGTCTCATCCACAATCCGTGATGGTTTTTGCCAGAGTCACTGCCGATTCGCGGACCGGCCTGTTTTTCGTTGAAAAGGGTGTGAAAATCGATGGCGTTTATTATTTGAATGAAATTTTAAAGAAAAAGGTGATGCATTGGGCAAACACAACCAACAATAATCAAAATTGGACCTTTATGCAAGACGGTGTCCCTGCGCACACAAAAAAGAGGGTTCAAGCCTGGTGTTCAGCCAATTTCTCCAACGTGATCACCGTCAATGAGTGGCGCCCGAACTCACCCGATCTAAACGTAATGGATTTTTTTATTGGGAGTATTTTAGAGGCCAATGATTGCTCTCAAAAACACACAATTTTGAACGCTTTGAAGAAGTCTTTGACCAAAGCATGGAAAGAAATTCCTCAAAGTCACTTTCGGGCCGCCGTGAAGTCTTACCCGAATAGCTTGAAGGCTGCTATTAAAGCAAAAGGAGGGCATATTGAATAGGCTCTCGTTTTCTTGTTTCTTATTGTTTAATAAATTTCTTTTAGTTTAAAATTCTTTTTTTTGGTACAGAATTTTGGTATGAAATGCCTTGAATATCTTGTGCGGGTAATTATGGCGCACCCTGTATATGTGTAGATGTGTAGATAATTTTAAAATATACTTATTAGAAATGTTTGTACCTAAAGATATCTTTGACTTAATGCCTATTCCAAAAATTTTGTATCCCAGCTTTCATGGCATTTTGGTACCTTTCATGATCGGGCATTTGCTCTAAATTTTCTAAATTTTTCAAATTTTATGATTTTTTAATGTTTTCTATCTTGAAATAGGTAAATTTTTTTTCATAAACAGTTTAAAAATTATCAAGCTACTTTATTTTTTAGCACATTTATTCTTACAGTTACACTATTAACCTGAAAATAACCCACTTTCGTCCTCGAACTCTTGTACATAGTTCAACATGATACAGAAAATTTGCCATTTCAGAAAGAGTAACACAGACAAGTCCCAGAGAGTCAAAGGAACAACTTTCAGAAGCTGATTCGAGGTGAAAATTTCAGTCCCAAAATGCGTTCGTATTCGGAAACTTCAAGCCGATCAACAGGCCCTTTCTTTCCGATTCTCCTTATCGTTCATAGTGACAATCTCTGATGTTTACTCTTTGCCCAAATCTTCTCATCAATAACCTTTTCTCCTTTGCTTGCAAAAATAGAAAGCTTTAAGAGCTTTGTGGATCTTTTTGAGTTATTTCATCTAACAAAGTTTCCATCAGGTAAACAAAAGTTGTTCTGTGTTGTTCGATGTTCTCCGAAAAGAGATTCAAGGGAAAAGTTCGCTCGAAAAGCGAATGTACTTCGATAAACTCACGATACTACTGATTGGGACACGTTGAATATAATATTTTTAGATGCATTTTTAGGAAAAAAAATCGTTGCGCACATTTTTGCGCGTGGAGAAATCAAAAAAAACTCTGGAGAAATAATCGTATTTGGTATTGAGTCCAGAAAGTAGATATAAGCTGAAAAACCCAACTGCTCAAGCTTTTTTTGTGCTATTGATAAGATCATCGGCATTTTGACACACTATTTTACAGGTATCCATTACAAGATCGGGAAAAACACCTTGAACCACCGGAAATATCTTTAAAATTTGACCCGAAGTGGATTTTTTTTGGATACCCTGTAGAGTCCGAAAATCAAATTAGTTTTGCTTGATTTTTCCTCTAGCTTAAAATAGTAGCATTTTCCCGTTACGACGCCCGCTAAGAGTAGCCCTTGAGGTGTCGGAAGGGTTTACATTGAGAGGTGTCGTAAAGTTACGATAGTGTAGTAAGGAAAATTTACGACAGCTGTCGTAAATTGGTGGTGATAAGTGTGGCAAAGTTACGACAGTGTCGCAAGTAGTGGTGAAATCGTGTCGTAAGGTTACGATAGTAGCCAAAGTTACGATAGTGTCGTAAAATGGTGGTGAAATGGTGTCGTAAGTGGTGGTGAAACCGGGCCCAGGTCTCTTACATTCCCAGCATATTGAACAATTGAAAGCTTTATCGGATGAATTGAACAAATGTATCCTTCACAAAATGGAGTCCGGTTCAATTTTACACGATGAAGATATTCGAGCTTTAGCACCCGAAATGAGTCTATCCCAATTTCGGATTGATGACTTTGAAGTAAGTCGCGGGTGAATTTCCAATTTCAAAAAGATGAACAAGGAGATGACGAAGATGAGCAGAAGAAGAATTGGCTCAATTTGTTTAATAGTTGACTGGGCATTTTGTTTACAGTAGATAGGTTTCTGTAGGATTTTGATCTGGATCACTGGTATTCTTTGCGTTGAGCCATCAAAGCCGATCTGTTTCAGAAGAGCTTTTTGACCATCCTCTTTTCTTAGGAGAAAATCAAAGCGATTTTCTCTCTTTTGCTCCTGAAAAGCAGAGTAGAGTTTATTTAAACGCTTTGGCTTTATTTAAATTGATGGCTAAAGTAAGAAAACTCTTTATAAACTAGTTAACAGTGCCATAACTCTCTGACAACTTTATTTAGACCTCTTTAAGTTTCATTGATGACTTCACAGCTTCACGAGCCGATAGACGCTTCATTTCATCAATTTGCATACAACTAGAGCCAAATTCTTTATGCTTATAGGAGTTTCAACCTTTGAAACAATTCTCGAAGCTCAATTATGCAATTTGGGGTCTCGATGTAATGGTTCGTATGTGAACTGGCGAAAAATTGTGAAAAAATGTGAAAAAATTCCCATATTTCAGTCGTGAGCATCACTGGAACCACATACTTATGTTATTGCTCAAATGGACAATATTACAATCAGATTGGTGGATGTCCTGGACAAATGACAACAACGATTCCTGTTGGGAAATGATTGAAATGTTTGATCAGTTCTTTTCAAAGCTTTTCACTTGAATGTGCAAGAAATAAAGATTAAAAGTCGTTTGTGGGAAATAAACAACCGGTATCAAATTTTATTTGGATCTTAATTGAACAAGTTGAATTTGTGAAGTTAAATGCAAGTAAACCAGAAAGCAAATCAATTTTTTTTAACAAAACAAAGAAGCAAATTTTTGAATTTTTTGAATTTTTGAATTTTTTGTAGCTTTGTTTGATAGGTTTTTTGCTATATACAAGAGAAAAACTTTTGAGAAAAACTTTTTCTAGAAAATTTCTAGAAATGGGGTTTTAAAAATGAAGGAAAAGAGCTAAAAACCTAAAAACGTTCCTGAGAAAATAGTTAGTTGTTGAAAATTGTTGAAAATTGCTGAAAAACGCTAGCAGAGCTACTGTACCTGTAATTTATGACTCTTCAGCAGGATTTTGCGCGTGAACCAGGATAAATGGAAACTGTTTGCTTGTTGAATTTTTCATGGCTTATAAGAAAATGGTCTCAGCTCAAAGTTGAGAATCGATTCGAGGATTTTATAAAATCGGACAAGCTGATTCTCAATCTGCAAAAATTAGCTGCGGACTCAAACGGAAATGCAACGAATCTGGCATAGAAAATTCGCTTAGATTTCGGACTCTTTATGGGGCCGGCACAAGAAAGCTTTCCAACGGATTTTGGGGTCTTTTCAACGGGGTTTTTGAACGGTTTCAGTGGTCTAGCGGATAGTGAACTAGTATACGGAACCTATGAAGTTCTTTGGCTTGGGTTCAAATCCTCCTTTAACCAATTTTCTTGCTTTTTTGAAAATTATATTAAATATTTAAATATTTATGTTTTATTTTACAGCTTCTACATCTTCTAAAGACATAAAGTGCTCATAGAATCTTTTTTCACAGAAGTTCATAGACATTTTCGAATCTTGGCATCATTTTTTCACATCTTCTAGAAAACCTTCTAGCATCTAGCGGATAGCAAGCTAGTCTACGGAACCTATAAAGTCTTTGGCTTAGGTTCACATCCTTCCCTAACCAATCCTTCTTCTTGTTTTGAATAATGTTTATAAAGCCACTGAATTAGGTAAAAATTCCAATTTTGGTCAAATTCAGTGCGTTCTTCAATGGGAATAGTTAAGGCTTCTGTTTTACGCAACTACAGTAACTACAGTAACGCTGTTACAATTTTCAGCAAGTTTACGGTGTAAAAGGGTGTGGGTGTAAAAGAAACGGCTGGTGGGGCCAAGAGATCATCTTTGTCGAAAACTGGAGACTCTTCGCCCCTCAGTCTTGCTGGAGCAGTAGTGTTCCAAGTTGGCCTAGCCACTCTTGAATCAGACTCTAAATCAGACTCTAAATTCCTCAGCAAACTTCTTGAACCACCAAATCTCTCAATCACAGCGAGAGTCTCTTTTCGTATCTTTTGTATCTTCGCCTCATCATTCATTCGCGATTCGCGCCTCTCGCATATCATCTGAAATCAAGATTTACTTTGTCAACATCTACAAATTTGCTTTTTTAATTCATTTGCATCAATCATTTACAAGAAAATCCTATTTTTGACTCACTTACATTGCACTCTGTCAAGAATGGATCCTTTAGACAACTTTCGACGATTGGTCGATCCAGAGGTCTCCGCTCAAGCATCGATTTCATTAATTTTATGAAGTTGAGTACTAAATTGATAAGTTTTTGCTGAATTCAAACAAAACCTACTGCTGATTGCTCCCAAATCTTTCTCAACTCTGCTTCGCCATTCATTAGAGATTTGATCAAAGTTCTTGAGCACAGTCTCAATTCGTTTCAAGACAACTTTCGCTGGTCCGTTTTGGGTAATCTGAAAGTTTGGTTCTTCTCGTAAATCCAATTCTTTTCATTGTGAAAACCTATCAAAACCTAAAGGATATCAAAAGACTTTTTTGGGCCAGCTTCGGGTCAATAAAGTGATGCAATTCTTGAGATCTCATCCTGCTTTTAGATCTAATAAAGGGACGTTTAGAACCTACCGTCGTGACATTTCGAGGCAAAACTTTGGCACAAAGGTAAATCGATTACGAGGATTCCAAATCTGTAATCCGTTCTTGCTGACGGGTCTTGGTGTTCGAGATATAAGCGTGTAAAGTTTTGAGAAATTTTGCCGAACTGCCATCTTGCTCATAAAAGGGCACCATGACGAATGGTAGGAAGAGCAGCGGCGGTCTAGTGGGTAGTGCGCTAGTCTACAAAACGTATGACATTTTTACTCGCGCGTTCAACTCCGCCACCCGCCCTAATTTTTTACTTTTTTTGCAAAATTTTAGAAATCTTTTTTGGAGATCCTAAAATGTTTTCACTTTTTAGCTTTTTTCTCTCGTTTTCTATGTAAAACGGATCTTACTTATCCAATTTTTACAATAGAAAAACAAAGATTGATCTTCAATCAATCAATTGAAACATTGATTGATTGAACAGAGAAAAAGCTCTATCATAAAATGGACAAAACATAATTCCTCATCTGATTGTAGATAAACCAGAAGGACCAGAAGAACTAGAAGAACTAGAAGAACTAGAAGAACTAGAAGAACCAGAAGAACCAGAAGAACTAGAAGAACCAGAAGAACCAGAAGAACTAGAAGAACCAGAAGAACCAAAAGTTGTCCTTTGCCTATTGATGCGCAACTATTCAAATCTCGCAGTCGTCGATTACTCCCAAAAAATTGTAGAAGAAATAAATAAATATAATGATAAAAAGAATAAAGGAAAGTGAAGCGAGAATAAATTGCAAAAAAGTAAAAGATTAGGGCGGGTGGCAGAATTGAACACGCGAGCAAAAGTGTCATGGGGTTTGTAGACTAGCGCACTACCCACTAGGCCACCGCTGCCCTTCCTCCTCTTCGTCATAGTGCTCTTTCATGAGCAAGATGAAAGTTTGGCAAAATTTGTCAAACTTTGCACGCTTATATCTCGAACACCAAGGTCCGTCAGCAAAAACGGATTTCAGATTTGGAATCCTCGTAATCGATTTACCTTTGTGCTAAAGTTTTGCCTCGAAATGTCGGTCGGTTCTGAACGTTCCCTTATAAGACTTTGGTGTATAAGTTCTACAAAACAGCCTAGATCCTCTCAATCACTCTGATCCATTTCCCTCACTTTTTCTGCAATCTCTTCCACACTCCCGGTTGGCATGAAAAGTTTGACTCCAAGAAATTCGATTGCGATTGTCCCAATAGCCCAAATATCAGCACAGCTGCCGACTGGTTTCCCCTCCAAAACCTCGATCGATTTATAGATAAGCGCGTTGAGGTCCTTTGTGTGACAATGGATTTCATCACTAAAGTTTGGATCAATATTGTATCCAAAAAAAAAAACATTTAATTCATAATACTTAATAGATTTGCTCACTTTATCAATCCGAAGTCCGAGATTTTCACGATAAAAGTTCCTTCGCCCTCTTTTATGCTAATGCTTCTGGGAGAGAGGTTCTGAATGCTTCAAATGATGCCTTGACTTTGAAATATATTGTCAAATCTTGTAATGTAATGATATATTGATATATTGATGTTTTGATAATGATAATATATTGCAAATTTACAAAGTTACCAAGCCAAAAACTCCAAACGAATGCAGATAGTCGAGAGCTCGCAGTGGCTGAGTCATAAGCTCACACAGAAGGCGAATGTCCCTTACTGCAAATCCGTGCATACAATCTCGTCGACGCTGGCTTCTAGATTGTAAATTAGCTTGTAAATTAGATTTAACAGTTCCATTATTTTTGATCGAAAGCATATTAATACTTTTTCTACCTTTTTGTGCTAACATTCCTTATTTATAGTTCTAAATTGGTCAACTCTTTGTTACATCCAATGAGTTACCCTTAAAAAGCTACTTTAATCTATTAGGTTGTCCAATTATGAATGCGCGTTTTTACTATTTTGTAAATTTCTCAAGATATCGGACAGATGTATATGAGTGTTATATATCATTCGAAAGCTGAAGATCTCCTCTACATTTTGGAATAAAAAAGTTTTTGAATTCATTCAACTTTTTGGGAAATTGACTGCACAAAGGGTGAGGTCGTTTTTAAAAAAAAAGCTGATTTTAGCTTAGCTATTCCTCAAGTTTTATGGTGTAAAATAACCGCCCAGAAAAGAAAAGATGCTCTGAAATTCTTATATTGAAAAAAAAAAGTTGTATTGATATATCTATTGGCCAAACATCAAACGGTTAACTCAATTTGAGCGGAGCCAAAACTTAATCCAACGGCACCCTTCCATTTTTTGGTCACCTCTTCTTCTGTGCAGTCAATTTGCCCAAAAGCTGAACAAATTCAACAACTTTTTGTATCAAAATGTAGAGGAGATCTTCAGCTTTCGAATAATACTCATATCCTTTTCTTGATTTCGGTATCTTGAGCAATTTACAAAATAGTAAAAAACGCGCATTCATAACCGGACAACCCAATAACTACAGTTAGATGAAAACAAAAAAAATTGCTTTTTTACAGACTAACCAGTGATAAAGTAGACTCAAATTTGATAGTAAGATAGCTTTTTCCGACTTTCCACCGACTTTCATGGATTTTGAAATACTTCAGAAAAGAATAAAAACTCTAAGCCTAACAATAAGATCATAAACGTCTACCTCCGAAAATCAAATCACACACAGTTAGATGAAAACAAAAAAAAATTGCTAACTGTATTAGCTATTTGATCAAAAAGAACTTTGCGACATCTCGCTTAAAAGGCTTCTCTCGCGACGCGAATATGGGCTATTGGCGCACTGGATAAGACGCTCGGATACTCGGAAGCTATTTACTTTTTGCTTGAGTTCGAGGCGAGCTGGGGTACTTCCCTTGTAAGCCCAAGCCTTCCCTTGTAAGCCTAAGCCTTCCCTTGTAAACCTATAAACTTCTACTTTTAAATCAAAATACACCTAAAGCAGCTAAGCTATTTGATCAAAATTATGCTAAACTTGTTCATCACAAAGCTGACTCATAGTATTTCTCCAAAGGGTCCATCCGCTCGCTAATCCAGCAGTAATGAGTGAACTTTGTCGGATCATCAGTTGATGGCTCCCCGTAATCTTTATAGAATGTAATGATCTAAACATTTTTCTATAAAAATATTTAAAAAAAATTACATTTGAGTGTTTATAAGTCTGTGAAAGATGTAGCTCCTTCAGAAATCTAGCGTCTAGCTCCGTTGCCGCAGTTGGTGGATCGATTCGAACACTGAAAGTTGAGAGTTGGTTCTGGAAGTTTGCACAAAAAGGAATTTAAGATAAGGTTGAACTGTTAAACTCTATCAAGATATCAATATAATCAAGAGAATTTAAGAATTCACTTGTTAAGCATACCGTTTAAGAGTGACTCGCGCAATTGTCTCGGCGACCAATTGCAACCCACTGAGTGTACTGTAATTACAAAATTGTTTACCAAATTTGATTTTCTTTGCCTACTAGAAGCTTTTAACAACAGCTTTTTTTTGTAAGTAGCTAATTTTCTTTGTTTTGTTTGATATTGACTTACAAGATTGTCCCAAAGTCACCACGGGAAAGCAAATTGAAATCTGTGTCAGCAAGTTCCTCTTCCTGAAGTCAAACGCTTTGGACAGTTCATTAAAAGCAAAGCAAGTGCTATTTAAATACGATTATGACGCTTATTTTAGTTCAAACAATTTATGGATACTGTAGAAAGGTGAATTTTCTTCAATGGCTTTCAGTAGCCTTTCCTTTCTTCTTTCATTTAAGTAAAAACACGGTTAAGTTATAATAGTTACTGTTTTTTAAGCATATATTTTAGAAAACACTGTAAACATAAAATATTGTTTGATTCTGATCATATTACCGGTAAAAATTGCACTGGAATTTGTATCTCATCCATTGCAGTAGGCTGAAAAGTCTTAAAGTCGAATGCAGGTTGAATTGAACCGCGCAGACGCAGACCCTAATTATAAGATATATCAAACAGAAAGTCCGGTCAATACCTTAACATGATCGCCGGTTTGATGGTGACGAAGTGAAGCGTTTTCACTGGCTTCACTTGTAGAAGGTGTTTGCTCTGTTAGCTAAAATGCAACATAATATTATAAAACGTTCAAGACATGTTGATTGAAAAATAGTCATTGACTGTCTTTTCAATAAGTTTCAAAGCTGCTTACTAATTTCTTGGGGATTCCTTCCAAAGTCTCCATTTCTTGATGATCAATACTCAGCAACTGTGTTAAAGCTAAAAATGTCTTTCCTCTAATACTAGACTAAGATGTTACCTAATTTAACCGTTGGTGTCACTTTCCTGATTTCTGGAGTAGACACCGTTTGATTATCATGCACGTAACTTTTCAAGCACAATTCACATAGATTTTCACCATTCTTCAATTTAAGCCATTCTGTGTGTTGCTGAAATTGATTTATTGTTATTTTTAAAGTTTCAGTTCGATTACCAAGCCTTGTTATTTTGCTAGAAAAACAACGCACTTTTCGCAAACCTTTCGTTGTCAACAAAGCGGCAAAAACTGGAGTCCGATCTTTTGCTTCCAATTGAGTTCCACTAAAAATACGTTATTCAAATCTAATTGTTAGCCCACCTCTCAATTAACTTTTGAAGTTTCTCAAAAAGACTTGGCTCCTTAAGTGGTATATCTTTAATGTGGGAAAATTTCGCTGCGAAAGGGCGGTGTTCCAGCTCCACATCATCAAAATGGGCTTCACTAAAAATAAAGCTTTTCTTCTTTTTCGATTCAGAAACCTTTTCTCAACAATTTCCCAAATTAAAACAGCAGCACTGTAGACATCGCTAGCACTTGTTATCTAAAATATTAATTTGTTTAGTGATTGGATTCTGAATAAAACTGGATAATTTTTCGGCTCTCCTTCTCGTCTAGAGTTGCCAAAACCAGCGAGTTTAAGACCAAAGCTTCCAGTCGCCAAAGTGCTAAAATTAAGATTCGAAGTATACTTTGAAAGGACGCGCTTTCCCTGTCGTTTTGATTTAGATTAAATACTTTTGGTTTCTCATGATTCCCAAATATTGTTGAAAAATTAAAGCCTACTATTAGAAAAATAAAACAAAAAATAATAAATTTTGATAGAAACAAACTTTTTATGGTTGATATTTGCATGTACAATGTCACGTTCAGAAAGATAGCAAATCGCTCGGAATAGTTGTTCGGCCCACCATAAAATAGTTCGTAACGAATATTCAAATTCTTGTTGAAAGATGACTAAAAACAACGAGAAGTCTTTTTTCTCACATACAGGTTTCGTAAGTACTAGATTACTTATTTTACGCTTGCTTCATGAATGTTAAAAAAAAGCACTTAAATCTACCGTAATCGCCATTTGACCAGTTCAATTTTTGTATCATCAACTGATCCTCATGGTTTCTCATCAATGTTATCAAGTTAAGAAGCTGATCGACAGAAAGCTGGTGGTTTGATTACAACAGTTTTCGAAAGCCTTTTCAAAGTGCAATAATCAAAAGAGAACCACGAATCAGTAATACCGTTTAATTAAGTCACTTGGTCACAAGAAAAAAGGATCACTTTTGGATATTGGCCCTCTTTCACAATACTCCATTACAATCCCAAGATTCGGCGTCATCACAGTGCCCAAAAATGAAACAATGTTTGGATGGACAAGCTTGCTCAAAGTCTCGGTTTCGTTTTTGAAAATACCATAGTAGTAATCGTCCTTGATAAGATAAAATTTCACAACACGATGGCTAAAATTGAAAAAGTTTTTACAAATCTACGAAAAACTTACGTGTCTTTGTCTAAAACAATGTGCTTTTTGGTGGTGAAATACAAGTCTTTTTCGGCTGCCCAATCCATCCTTTGAGAAAAATGTCAGCTTTAGTATCTATAGCTGAAAATTAGCACTAGAAATGACAAGGAAAAGAAAAATTTTGAGCGAAGAAATTTCAGGTTTGGCAACCGTAGTTGGATTGCCAATTAGATAAGAAATCTCGATGGGCCCATGCAGTCATGGGAAAACTGCATGGGCGCTTTTTCGGCTTCAACAAAATTGATTGATACGAGAGTGCGAGCAGAAAAGAGAGGCTGATACGAACAGTTCTACACTTTCTTTCCTCATAAAAGGTTTTGTTTCATTGCATTAATGTTTTCAAACAAAATCTTTACTGCAGTGCTTTTAAAGTTATTTCAAACTTTTCTCTACGGTCATATTTATTTAGTAAGCAACGAAAAAGTGTGTTACTAGTGGGAACGTTGAACAATTAAACTCCTTGTTGTCTTTCTCCCAATCCTCTGTTAATTTTTTGCCTAATAACTATTGTTTACGACTTCGACCCTCTCAATTTTCAGTGTGAATATCCTTTCAAGGTCTTAATTTTAAGAGAAGAAGCAGCTGTCCCAAAACATAAATGCCCAACCCTCGTAAGCGACATACAACGTTCCAAATCTGTTAAATATTTTCTAGAAAGTCAGCAATCAGTCGGAGGGAGTTTCGGTGTGCACGTCAACACTCTACAAATAATAAGAGAGTCGGTTCATTTTTTTCAACACTCCACAAGAAATCATTCTTAGTAATCAAGTGGACAGATACGAGATTGTGCCCGGGAAAGATCCAAAATTTTCTGATGGAATATTGGAGACACCAAATTGTATCGTTAGTTGTAAAAGAGTCCAGGGTACAATCAACAAACATGGTGGTATGTAAATCAAATATTTCTGAAAAATCAATTTTCAAAAGCATATTCTTTGAAGTGGAAAAAATTACTTGGAAGCGGGGGAAACGGAGAGATTTGGGAAGTTGAGTTTACTAGTCAAAGGTTTGTCATTTGCATCTACTATATTATAATTTGAAATTTTTTTTGTCGGTTTGTGTGTCTGTTATTACGATTTCACTTCACCAGTTGTGTTTTGCAGAGAGTAAAGCATCGAACTAGGGGTGACCACGGTGAGGAAGAGAGTGATCAGATTTTAGGAGTCTTTGTTTATTTAAATAGCTTACTAGGGGTCGTTGTTTCTTTACCACCGAGTTTTGAAGTGAGACCTAGCCTATTTTGTAGCAAATTTTTCGCTGATTTCGAATATCCAGGTCGTTTGTGTGTAATTGCTTTTCAAATTTTCGTTTTAAATCCGTTTAAAGTTTGTGTGCAAAAAAAGCAGTTTTTGAGTGGATTACGCTTTTTATCTGACCGCGCGAGTATCAAGCGATCTTGCGTTCCTCGAAGGTATATCGTCGTGGCCAAGTGGTTCGTGCGCTGGGCTCTCACTCGCTGCGCCGCGCTGTCTGGCCCTGGTTCGTGGACTTGGGTTCAACTTTTGCTTTTTGTAAAAGAAATTCTTGTTAAAGTCATAAATGTAAAACCTTGCAAACCGCCACATTCATGTAAACACTAATTTATGCAATTTTATACAGTTTAAGTTTGGACAATTTTATTTCATAACCTTCTGTGATAGTTTCAGCGATTGCCACAATAATGTGGATGAATTTGAAACATATATAAAGTTTAAAACAAAGTGATAACAGTAATAAAAGTTTTGGAAATTTTTTTAAAAAGGTTTTACCCAAATCCGGGCTCGAACCGGAGCCAAAAGTTGAGAGCCTAGCACACTTATCATTTGGCGACGATGGCATTGCTTCGACAAACGCAAGATCGCTTGATATAGATAAATAGCGCAACACTCAAAAACTGTTTTTTTTTACACACAAACGATCTGGATATTCGGAATTAGGGAAAAATTTGCTACAAAATACGCTAGGTCCCACTTCGAAACTCGATAATAAATAAACAACGATCCCTAGTTAGAAAAGTGTCAAAAACATGTCGGTTTTGTCTAATAAAAGTTATTGAAGAAAGTGCCTTGTATTATAGTTTAACTTATAGAGAATTTTTTTTCTCCATCGAATGGTACCAAATTTGTAAAAAATATTGATTCTGCGTTAAGCGAGTCCAAAAGATCAAACTCGAAAGCCTTCTTTGGTCAATTGCTCTAGCTTGAGACATTCCGTGAAGTTTTCCGCGATAGGCCGCAACAATTTTGTCCTATTCTCGAGTCAACGATCGCTTCTGGGCCTCCAAACTTTTGTGTGATTCTTTCTGCACAATAAAAAAAGCTATGCTGAACAAAGTGCCATGTATTATAGTTTAACTTATAGAGAATTTTTCCTCCATCGAATGGTACCAAATTTGTAAAAAAAAATTGATTCTGAGTGATTTTATGCAATTAGTTCGGATGCGGACGTAACATATGCACTGATGGTAAACTCGTGCTAACACTTTTCAGCAGCTCTGTTGAATATGCCGCAAAGAACACAAAAACTCTAAGAGATATATGCCTACAAAATATTGCTTTGGACGAACTACGCTACGAATGTGAAATACTAAAAAAACTCGATCATGCAAATATTGTGAAATATATGGGCTTCGCCGAATTCCAACACGATCAAATCTCGAAAAAGTTTGTTTTGCTGTTGGAGAAATGTGATGGTGGCGACTTACTAACTAGTGAGTTTGTTTAAAAGTAAAAGCTGCTTGTGCAATGTTACGAAAACGTTCAAGACATTTAGTGATCAATGACAGACACAAGATCTATTCCATGTATACAGTCGTTTATTGGGCAGAACAGTTGTTTTCGGCGCTTGAATATTTACGGACGCGAAATCTCATTCATCGGGATATTAAAGCAGAGAAGTGAGTTGAAAAGTAGATCAACTATACGTACTTTAAGCTCAAACTAAAAGTAATAGTAGTAAAAATTGAAATTTAAGCGTTCTTCTATCTATAAAGCCAAATCAGCCAAATTTATCGCCAAATAAAATCGAATATGATGTGAAACTTTGCGATTTTGCCTTTACAATTCATCGCGAAAACACTACTTTTTTTTTGATGGAAACTTGGGAGGAATCTCCTAAAGGAACATATGCTTCAATGAGCCCTGAAGTGTACAATTGTATGGTAAGAAAAAGAATATATATGTCGTAGCTTACGAAATTCAGCCGCTAACGAATGAGGGTATTTCCGGGCATCCAATCAAAAAGTCACCCACATAAAAAATGTTCATAATACATATATTTTATAATAAATTTTTGAAATTAGCTTATTTGGTTCAGTAGAAAATTTTTTTTGAGCCTCCAAAGTTTAGGTTCAAAAATGCCCTAAAATGGCTATAAAAAATTTTCTACTCAGCCAAAAAACTTGCCTAATAGCTCATTTTGTAGCCAATTTGATGTAGTTTCTTAAAGTAAAGCTACATTAAGCATTTGTTTTTCAAAGCTAGGAGAAAGAGGGCGAGGAACGACTTCAATTGAACTCGGTCGCTGTTTTCACATTTGAATTTGTTCCTCGCCCTGAATTTGTTCCTCGCCCTCTTTCTCCTACTTTCAACGAAAAATTGTTTTAGATGGCTTTACTTTAAGAAACTACATCAAATTGGCTACAAAATGAGCTATTAGGCAAGTTTTTTAGAAAGTAGAAAGAGTAGAAAATTTTTTATAGCTATTTTAGGGCATTTTTGAACCTAAACTTTGGAGGCTCAAAAAAAATTTTCCACTGAACCAAATGAGCTAATTTCAAAAATTTATTATAAAATATATGTATTATGAACATTTTTTATGTGGGTGACTTTTTGATTGGATGCCCGGAAATACCCTCATTCGTTAGCGGCTGAATTTCGTAAGCGGCTACGACATATATATTATCGAATATCAATGTAAATAGGTCTGTCACCGTAGCGACATTTTCTGCCTTGGTCTCGTCTTGTGGTTTTTGATTGAAAGAAGGTTAGACATTTGCTCTATGAACAATTTGTTCATTATGTTTATAGTCTTATGTCCAAGACTTTCTATAGCGCTTTCTAGAAAATTCTATTCCTGCCCATCCGAATGGAAAACCTATCAAACAGCAAAAGAGCAAGAACCATCATTCGTCAATTGCCGAGACGATTTACGAGATATCATTTATAAGTTAAACTGAAAAAGGGTTCAAGTTTTCAAAGAGTGAATTTAGTTGCACTAGGAAAAAGTTTGACAATCGGGCTCAGGATGCAGAAGGAGTGCGACGGCTGTTGGAAACAATATTACAGGTGTGCTCTTAACGTTTAGCGTCAATAATCTGAACAACCGCTTTCTGATCATAATAGCAAAGAATTTTCAATTACAGGTTAACAATAAATAACCAGTGCTTATGTTTTGAGCATTTCTAAAATATTAGGGGTTTGCAAAAGAAACTGTGTATTATACGCAACGTTCAAACACCTGGAAAATTAATAATAAAAGACTTTATTCCAAAAGGTACTCGCCAAAATTATCAACTATATTTTCCCATTTTTTACGTAGACTTCGGATGCCTGATTCGAAAGATTCCGGATCTTGTGACGCGAAATAGTCTTGCACCCAAATTTCGACTTCTTGGTAATTGTTAAACTGTTGATTTACAAGGGAGTGTTGCATAGATCGGAACAAGTGGTAATCTGAAGGGGCGATATCAGGGGAATATGGCGGATGAGGCAGAAGATTCCAGCCTAATTCTTCTATCGTGTTTTGAGCCAAATTCGACGTATGTACCCGGGCGTTGTCAGCAAGCAAATTGATTGTCTTTGGATTAACGCCTCTTTCTCTTAGAATTTCATCAACTTTCTTTAACTGCTCGGTGTAGCTTTGAGAAGTTATAGTTTTTGAGGATTTTTGTAATTCAAAGTAGACGATTCCTTTCATATTCCAAAAGACCGACAGCATAACTTTCTTGCCGTGAAGATCTGGACGTGGTGTCGGAACTGGAGTTTCTCCTTTGCTCAGCCATTGTCTTTTGCGGGTTGTATTATTGAAATATATCCACTTTTCGTCCATTGTCAAGATGTTTTCAAAAAAAGCACTGCTCGTAGCCTTTTCCAATAAAATCCGAGACAATAAAACTCGATTGGCTTTGTTTTCAGGGGACAATTCATGTGGGACCCATTGGCCACAACGATTCCTTTTTCCAATAAGCGCAAGGTGTCGAGAAATTGTGCTCGAATCACATTTAACCATTCCTGACAACTTCTTTCACTCAAAACGTTTTCTCCAAATGCTTCACAAAGATTCCGGTGCGACTCCAATGCTGATTTCATCATTTTAAAGTCATAGAGAAGGCAAGCCCGCAAAACGAATTTTTGATCCGTCATCTTCGACAACTAAAATTATTTATAATTCAATGGTCAAACAAATGTGAAAATCAGTAAAATAAATAAGCGTTATCAACACAATAGAATAAAATTTAAACTGGGTTAGAGCACTTTCAAAAATATTGTTCCGGAAAGTCATGATATTGTTCCGGAAAGTTTCTTTTGCAAACCCCTAATACAATCAAACCTCTCTGGTTTGATCCGATGGGTGTCGTTATAGAGAATAACGACACCCCTCGGGACCAGGACCAGACTGGCGTTATAGAGAGATGTCGTTATAGAGAAACAAAAAAAGTTAGGTTTTCAACCGATAACGTTATGTAGAGGTTTTTAAAGTATGTTATTGAAAAAGTTTCACAATCAAAACAAACAAGACAAAAAAGAAACAAACAAGTTAACAATTCTTAAAGTTTTGAGAAAAAAAATCGGCTAATTTGTCTTTTTACTGCTAACAACAGAATGTTTATAAAAAAGTTATCAATGCTTTTTTAAAGCTTGTAGAACTTCTTTGTTCGAATCCTTTCTTGCATAATTTTGAAACATTTGAAAATGTTGATAGGCCTGAATCCGTGAAATTGGCTCTTTCACTTCAAGTACTTCGTCGATGTCGCTTTTCGAAGACATTTCAGAACGAGCAATAACTTTGTTAGCGGCTGTAATTTCTTCCAATGTTCTTATGCTTGATGTGACAAGGTTTTCATCAACCCAGCGAAATCCATGGCATTCATAGAATCACCAATGCCGTCAGTGATGGTCAACTTCTTCCAGAAAACCTTCAAAAATCGTTTCATATCTTCATCATTATTGTTGTTGCTGTCATCATCATTTTTTTAAAAACCTGCCTTGCGGAAACAATGTGCCAATGTCTCAGCTTTCACTTCGGTCCATGATTGCTCAAGCAGCTGAAGCGCGTCCAAAAGATCAAACTCGAAAGCCTTCTTTGATCAATTGCTGTAATTCGGTGCTAAGCCTAAGTATTTTAGCATACTCAGGCAAAACTATAAAAAAAACCACTTTTAACAAAAGTTTCTGACAAAATCCCGTTTTGTAAAGCTAAAAGTATAGTAGGTTAAGTGCATTTTAGCAAAAAAATCTTTAAAAAGTCACGTTTTGGAAAAAAGGGTCGTTATATATGTCGTAGCCGATGGAGGATTTCAGCCGAAGAAGTCTCAAACTTCTTCGGCTAGCCGATGAAGTCTCAAAAATGAAATCTTGGGTTATGTATTGACTCAAGTCAATACCACAAACTCAAGCTCTTTAAAAGGCGCTTAAAAGCTAAAAGCTCATTCTAAAGAGTGCGCATTTTATCATACTGTAACCAAAGGCTATAAAAGGGCCTTTTTCGTCATTTTCTATCTGATTCGTGATTTATTTGAAATAGAGTTGTTTGTTTTTGTAAGTCAATTTGACTCCTTTGTTGGATCATCGATAAAACTTTTTTACCACTAATCTGTTTATAATCGAACATAACCCCTTATTTCATTCCTATTTTTTCTTGTTGTTACTGTGCATTTTTTTGTTTACGCTACACTAATTTTTGTCTTTTAGGAATGGAGAAAGAATTCGACTTGCAGTTTTCTCACTTTCAATCAAATCAAAAGCGAAGTTTGATTCTTTCAAGCGAGAAATACGCGGAAATCGTCACCGTTCTCCAACAATTGCGGAATGAAGACTTCAAACCATCGAAAAAAACACAAAAACTTGTAGTGCGATTCTCTCTTCGATACGAATTGAATCAAGAGGTACTTTACAATCATGGGATCTGTGGCGAATAGCCACTAAAAGTTATCCAACTCTGACAGCCTAAAAATTGGAAAAGTATTGAGGAAATCGGTGCGCCTCCATTCTATTTCGCGCCCCAAATCATTTATGGTTTTGTAGCTTGTTAGCTGAGTATCTTGTGTTAAAGTCTATATAAGGCAACTGTTGTTCATTTTGTTTTTGTTATCTTTCATTTTTTCTTTTTGCTTTCCTCTGATCGTGTGAAAGTTGTGTCCTAATTAGGACGAAATTGTTTCTGTTTTTATCATCGCTTTTAATTCAATTATCGATCTTGTGTGAAAATTGCTCAAGTGAGAGCCCAAAGATTTCGAGTCAGTCGGCTATTGAATAAAGTGTTTTAGTGCAAGTGAGATCAGATATCTCGAAACAAGAAATGACGTGTCTTGAGTGAAGAGTACCAAGCACGCAAAGAATATTTCTTTACAGGATCAAAGGCGATTTGGACAAACCCAAGAAAGTCGTCAAGAAAGAGGAGCTCTTTGGCCTGTTAACGACCACTCACCAACGACTTGGGCACGCCGGAAGAGATATAATGTGGCAAGGACTACGAGACTATCGTGGGATCTCAAAAGAAGTGATCGAAATTTTTGTCCAGTTGTGCCCAGAATGCGAGCTCAAATACTGATATAACTTGGGCACGCCAATTGTTATAAAGGATTTCAACGAGTGTTGCCAGGTGGATTTAATCGATCTTCAATCTGTTCCCGAGCCGCCGAAGGATCACAATCGCTGACTGGGACTCAAGGTAAACTTTTAAATAGCCCTGTTTTAAGTTTCTTTCAGGTCATAAGCATTGCAACGGCACGAATGGATGTGCGAACGGGCGATACGCCTGCTGGAAAGCCAACCTGCAATGCAACAGCCGATGCCACAAGAGCAACACCTGCAAGAATAAGTTAATTTCAGTTTGTTTTGGTATGTTAATGTTTGTTTTTATCAATGTTAATTTACTCAAAAAAAATTTGAAATTTAAAGCCTCAAAATGCAAAAAAACATTCAGAGGTGATGAATGCAAAAATAGATCAAAACTAGTAATATTTGCAACTTTGCATAGAGCAAGTGTAACTCAAGATTTAATTTTTGAGAACCTGAAACTTCATCGGCTAGCCGAAGAAGTCTGAGACTTCATCGGCTAGCCGAAGAAGTCTGAGACTTCTTCGGCTGAAATCCTTCATCGGTTACGACATATAGAAGTTGTCATTATAAGAGTGTCCTTATATAAACGTTTTTTCTTAATATTTTGTGTGGTGCCCAACTCAATTTAAAAAAATGTCATTATATAGAGGGTGGCGTTATGCAGATATGTCGTTATAGAGAGGTTTGACCGTACAAACAATTTTATTCAAAAACTTCAAAAGAAATAACGATTTTAAACATCTCATTAAACAAAATCAACAATCGTTTTCGAAATTTCCATCATTTGCCTTTGATGCAGAGCTTGAGACGTTCCGTGGAGTTCTCCGCGATAGGCCGCAACAATTTTGTCCCACTCTCGAGTCAACGATCGCTTCTGGGCCTCCAAGCTTTTGTGATATTCTGCACAGGCCCTTGACTTCAAAATTGACTATAGGTTGCAATCCAATGGATTGAGATCACAGGAGTAAGGAGCCTATTCTTGAGCCGAGATGAAGTCCGGGAAATTGGCTTTGTACCAATCCTGCATGGTTTTTGCTCGGTGAGAGGGCGCCGAATTCTGCTGAAAGGTCCAAAACTGGTTTCTGAAGGGTTTTTGGGACCAGAGAAGCACTATGTCTTCGAGAATCTCTTTTTGATAAACATCTTTGTTGATTTTCACCCTCAAATCGATGAAAATGAAGGGTGTTTTTACCCGTGGCACAAATCCCGACCCAAACCATTACGGACTTTGAGTTTTGACGATGCTGAACGATCAAAGAATTGCCTGGAGAGCTTATCGACTAAATCCAATTGTTTTGCCGGTTTTTGCTCAACAGGGATGAGCTTCCCATCCGAGAACGGAATTTGCTCCCAATTCGGAGTTGCGGCACGCTTGATCCGCCCACGGCATCTCTCTAGTCGGATTCGTTTGTTGTCATCGGTAAGCAATTGTTCTTGTTTGAGCTTATATGGGTGAAGGTTAAGATTTTTAGCAATCTTTCGGATTGTTTCACGATTCACTTCGGTGTCTGTAGCAACCTTCCTTATCGAGATCCTCGAATTTCGATCGATTCTCTTCTTGATGATTTTTCGGACCCTCAAAGTGTTGTCGTTTTCTTCCTTTTTCTGGACGATCTCGGTCATGACCAAAAATTTTGATCTTTTGCTTGAATCTAGCAAGGTTGATTTTATCCTCCATTGTTTACTGTGTCGACCCAGCAAAAAACTCATCTTTGTGTAAAGCTTTTCGCTTTTTTGTGCACTCACAGCACTCTTATCATAAATTGAGAATTTGAGCATTGAGCCGAACAAAAAATTCTCCTGTAATTGCACAAAGCAGGGACTAAGAATAAATGATCTTGATAGACTCTGATTTATATATGATTCTTTATTCAAGACAAAGTTCCAGGACACAACCAAATGCTCAGAAGATAATTTGCAGATAAGAAAATAAGAAGCATGAAGTATGATGATCAGAAATTCATGACAAGCAGATGAATGAGAATTAACTTGAACAAGATAGCAAATGTTTAAGATCTAAACTATCGGATTCTTAAAGTGAATAGCATTATGAATGGCTCTAATTTTGCTCGGTAGAGTTCCAGAGTCTCGTAGTTCTAACGGGGAAAGGAACTTATTGGAGTTGTTTAGCGACTGCAGAACGAAAGGGTTTCTTGACTTAGGCCTATTGATGCGTTTGAAAGATTGTTTAAAGTTTCCAAGTTGTTTAAAGGATCCAGGTTGAATACAGCTCAAGCATTTGAAACATTCAATTACCATTTCCAAAATCATTTCCAAAAATCATATTCTGAACCTTGACATAACGAACTTAATCCATGAAAGAAACAGATGAAACTCTATAAAAAAGTATTATATTTAGCATTTTGTATGTTTTTTGAATCTATGGGGATTTAATTTTTTGTTTTCTCGGATATCGGTCCGTCTTGCTTAACGTGGTAACTTGAAAAAGAAGTTTGAAATTAACTTTTATCGCTTTTGTTTTAGAACCGTCGCTTTGTCTTTCTTGCAGCTTTTAATCCCGTTTTTTCTTTGACAAAGTTCAGTCTTCTTTTGGGGTTTTATCGCGGAGATAAGAGTGCTTCTATGGGGCAAATACCGTGGTATTCTCGAAGTTCACCCGACACGGCTTATCTTGACAATAAACTTTTGCAAAACTTTTCACAAAAAATGAATGAAAAAGTGCTTTTTATAAACAAGGGATTGCGAAAAACTTATTTTATATAAACGGTTGAACGAAGATAATGCTCAGTGAGTTGCCCTTGTAAGCGTGGAATCAAAAAATGAAGCATTAGCAGCTAATAAACTGTGAACACAAAATTTCCATTCCAAAAAAGAAACTATCATTAACAGAGACGCGTTTGTCGTTTCTGTTGATGATAAATGGGAGTCAAGAAGTGTGAAATCTAACGAGTAAGGTGCTTCATAGATTGTCTTTACTAATGTGGGCTCCTCTTGATAAAAAATGTTACCAAGATAAAGCTTGGTTTCTTCTTGTAGCGACACATGAATTCCTTGCCTTGTATTGACAATCACTTATTTAACATGTTAATCATGTCTGAGTCTAGAAACTAAACTTTTGTAGTTTATGATCTCTGCAAAAGAATGCTCTATTGTTAAGTTGAGAGCTGAGAAGAAATTTGCTGAAACGAAATTCCTTTCCCAAGAATCGCTAGATAGGCGTTGTTGTGTGCCAATTAACGCGGCATTGTGGGTTCTTTTTTGCTGATTGTCTTATCTAGGCAATAAACTCTTGCCAAGCTTCTCAAGCCGTTGATCGGCAAAAAAATGGGAACGAGAATCGTTTTATTATATTTCAAAATGTTGCTGAGGGACCGATAAATGTGAAAAAAATAGGCTCAAGTTTAAAAATCCAGCATTTAAAAGGTTGGGTAACAAATTTAAAAAATAAACCACAAAACCCAAACCCCCAACCCCCCACAAAAAACCACACCCCCCCCCCACAAAACAACCACAAAAAACAAAAAAAAAAAAAAAAAAAAAAAAAAAAAAAAAAAAAAAAACCCCTTTCAATTATCCTTTTCTTCCTTCCCCCCCCCCCCCAACCCAAACACAAAATAAATAAAAAAAAAAAAAAAAAAAAAAAAAAACAAAAAAAAAATTTTTTATAAAATTTTTTTATTTTTTTTCCCCACTTCCCCCCCCCCCCCCCCCACATTTCCCCTCAAAAAATATTTTTTTTTAATTTTTATTTTTAACTTCCTCACAAAAAAAAAAAAATAAAAATAAAAATTTAAAAAAAAAAAAAAAAAAAAAAAAAAAAATAAACAAAAACTTTCCTTTTTTTTTTTTTTTTTTTAAGGCTTTTTACCATCCTTTTATAACCCCCCCAAAACCCCCCACCATTTTTCCCCCTCCCCCTCTCCTTTACCCTTCATTTTTTCTTTTATATATTTATTTTAATATTTAACCAAAAAATTAAAATTAATTTTTAAATATAAATATATTTTAAAAAAAATAAAATAAAATAAATAAAAAATAAATTTAATAAAAAAAATTTAATTTTGAATTTTTTTTTTCTTTTTTTCTTTTTTTTTTTTGTTGGGGGGGGGCCAAAAATTTTTTAAAATTTTTTAATATTTTTTTATTTTTTAAAAAAATAAAAAAAAAAAAAATTCCGGGAGAAATTTTTTTTTTTTTTCCGGTTTTTTTTTTTTTCCAAAAAAAAAAGCTTCCCCACCGAAAAAAAAATTTTCTCTTAATCGGAGTCGCGGAGTTGGTCAGCCCACGGCATCTCTCTAGTAGGATTCGTTTGTTGTCATTGGTCAGCAATTGTTCTTGTTTGAGCTTATATGGGTGAAGGTTAAGATTTTTTAGCAATCTTTCGGATTGTTTCACGATTCACTCCGGTGTCATATGTAGCAACGATTCACCTTCCTTATCGAGATCCTCGAATTTCGATCGATTCTCTTCTTGATGATTTTTCGGACCCTCAAAGTGTCGTCTGTCCGTTTTCTTCCTCTTTCTGGACGATCTCCGTCACGACCAAAAATTTTGATCTTTTGTTTGAATCTAGCACGGTTGATTTTGGCTCATCAAGCAATTGAACGATCTCCACCGGTCGTTTTCCTTGTCAATGCAACGCAAGAAGCGCACTTCGTTTGTCCAACGTCCTAAAAAGGAACGTTAGATTCAAACGACTACAGCCAAAATATAAAATATTAAAAAAAGAATCACAGCAAAGAAGAAAAATAACATTTTAAGTGACAAAACGAGTTACAAAGGGGATATGAGTCGCTAGAAAAAAAAGACGGGTTATTTATTGTCACCCTGTAAAAAAAAATGATCGTTTTCAGGATTACCAAAATGGCACAGCCAGGGCCTTGGGCTTAGAGTTGGCTGTGGAAACAGATTTAAACGAAGAGCGAAAGATTCGACCACTCGGATTCGATGATACCAAGCAACGAAAAGAATGTGCTTCGGTGAGTGATAAATTCATCTATCCATTTCATCTCATTTCAGAGTTGTGTGATGTTGAACAAAGCCCTTTCATCATTATCAAAAATCGGTGAAACAACTGATCATGAGCCCTCGGATCGTCATCGAAAACTTTTCCTAGAAAAATTTGATGATGTGCAGCAGGCGAGTTTGGACGCTAAGGCAATTTACGCCGGACAATCGGCTATTTTTTCTAAACGCTATAAGGAGATCGATCCTGAATTCAGCAAAAGCGAAAAGATTAGAAGCGATCGGATTGACTTGAGCTTTAAACAGATCCTAATTGCCGATTTCAAACACCAGGCCGATGTTTTCAAATCAACATTCGATGTGCTTATTGAGACGGTGAACATTCCTGCAACCGAGGTAGACTTACCAGAAAAACTCTCACCTTTCGAGCATTTCAATCACGGATGCTGGGATCTTTTAGAGCTTTTGGGTGGAAAACTAAAGGCTATTGAGATTATTAAAAGTGCTTGTTATAATTTGTCTTTCCGCTTTTGCTTTTACAAACTTAAAAGCTTTGATGGTAAACCGACACACGATCACTTCTACTTATTACATAAAAGTTCAAGGGGTGGATTGTTTATGCGAAAAGTCTCAACTCAACGAACACTACATTTTATCGCTGGAAGCTGGAAAAACGAAAAGTTTTGCATGGACTCAAGAGAAATCTCGCCAAGTCTCAATTCATCTGCAGAAGTGTCTCCTATTGATATGACTGAATGGATTAAACAAGAAATGATCAAGCTAAATGGTTATGCTAAACATTACCACGAGGGCTTTTTTCCAAACTTCTTCACTTTTCAGCTTAGTGATTATGTCTTTCAATTGCAAATTCCTCCAAGGCACTCGTCAACTTGTAAGAATCCTGATGATCTCATTCTTAAAGCTGGTTTCCCAGGTGAAGTTGATAATGACTACAGAATTGGCAACTGTAAATGCACAAATGATGACGAGATCGGCGTACATCAAAACTTACACAAAGATTTGCAAAGTGATCTTTCTGGTGAATCGAAAAGGAGTCAAGATTTTTGAAAAGAAACACTCCACAAACGGGTTCAGCATCGACTTTCAAAGTTGTGCCGAATCGAGACAGGAGATCGTCGCAGATTGGAAATTTTACGTTCACCGTGATGAGCAGAAGATAGCTCTGAATCACCCTAAATATTTCCCAGCAGATCATAAGATCGATATCCTGCTTGTCGATCAAATGTATAATTTGTCAAGAAGGAATCCGATTGCCGAAGACTCTACTCGAAATGAGCAGATTTCAATTGACATTTTTGAGATTTTTAACTTTAAAGAACCAGCCGCTAAAAAGAGAAACATGTTTTTTTCGGAAATATAACCATTCAAAATTGATTTCTACCAAAATAATTTTATTGATTATTGAGCTTTTAGAGAGATTGTAGGTATCGATGCTCTAGTTTTTGAGTTTTGTTTGAATCTACTGTATTAATATTTAATTCGTTTAGCCGAAATTTCTATACTCAATGAGATTCATGTTTTTGGTAAATAAAATTCTTTGAATTACAAAAGTTGAAAAATTGCACACAAATCTACTCACAGATTTTATTGTTAATGTTTGTGTCACTCCAATTACCCTAAAGTCGCGAGTATAAGTTCATCCGAGTATAAGTTCTGAATTTACATTTAAAGGGCATTTAAAGGGATGGAAAACTTTCTTCTTTCTTTAATTTTTATTGTTTTTTGTTTTTTTTTTTTTTATTGTTTTTTTTGTTTTTGTTTTTATTTTTTATTGTTTTTTTTTATTTTTTATTTTACTAACGTTTTTTCATTTTAGATACGATGAGGAGAAAGTCGTACACCGCCGAAACGAAGCTCGAAGCGGTCAAATTTGCGAGGAAATTTGGAACGAACGCGGCTGCGATCGAATTTGAAGTCGCCGAACAGATGATTAACCGCTGGAAACAAGCTGAGCCGGCACTGATGACTTCACCCAAAAAATAATCGAGCTTTCCGAGGATTGAGGGCAAAATGGCCGGATGTGGAGAAAGATCTGAAGGCATGGGTTCTGGAGAGGCGATCAAAACAACGAGCTGTAAATGGACCGGCAATGAAACGAGAAGCCATCAAGATTGCAACGAAACTTAGGATTCGTCCGTTTTCACCCAGCAATTCATGGATTCAAAATTTCATGAGGCGGAATGGTTTGTCGATGCGGCGGAGGACGAGCGTTGGACAACCACTTCCAAAGGACTGTCAAAGCAAGAAATCATCTTTTCGATCGTTCTTCGAGAATTTTATGATGTTTCACCAAACAATTTTGGAAATTTAGACGAGGTTCCGGTTCCATTCGATATTGTTTCCAACCGAACAGTCGAAGTAAAGGAAAGGATGATATTTCAATTGCTTCAACGGGAAATGAGAGACGAATTTCACAGTTGTGCTCGGAATTCTGCCGATGGATCGAAACTCCGACCGATGCCATTTTCAAGCGCAAGACTCTTCCTAAAGGAATTTTCCCGGTGTGATCATCAAAGCTAATCCGACAGGGTGGATGAATTCGGACTTGATGAAGGAGTGGCTCGATGAAATTTGGTTGCGAAGAGCAAATCCGGTGGCCAAATCCGAAGAATCAGTGCTCGTGTTGGACTCAGCTCGCTGTCACTTAACCGATAATGTCAAGGCTGAAATTCAGCAACACTCGAAGCTGGCTGTGATTCCAGGAGGGCTGACTCGATTTCTACAACCGCTTGACATCAGCGTCAATAGCCATTCAAGGACAATCTAAAGGCTCACTGGGAAGAATGGATGTCCGATAGCCGAAACGACCAATTTACCCTGTCAGGACGAAAAAGAGAGCGAGCTACGAGACAATTCGGAATGGGTAAGGAAAAGTTTCGATGCGGTCCCCTCTCTTGCATTATCAATGGATTTCGAAGAGCTTTGCGGATGAAACAGTTTCGAAGCTAAGCACAGAATTCTTTTTATGTCGCTTTAATTGCTTTGAATTTCTTTTGTTGGGTTTTTTGATACATTTTATTGTTATATAAACTTTTATTATTGTTCTTGGAGCGCGGGATACTACAGGGTGACAGCCTATCACCATTGCTATTTGTTATGTGCATGGATACATCCAGACGATAGTGTTGAAGAAGACGCTGGAAAGCATCTCTTTCGACCGTCGACGTGGACTTTGGCCGGATGAAGAGGCCAGGGAGGGATCCATAAGACTGAGCACCGGAGAGGAGCAGGGCGGACGCGCCGAGCCGCGCCCGGAGCAACAAATAACAGCATAAAATTGCTATAAGCCTCAATAAATTTACTTCTATTGTTCTTAAAAAGCAAAAAAGTTATGCTGCAGCGGGGTTCGAACCCTCGACACACCGTCAATTTGCATGCGAAAACCAGACAGAACTTATACTCGCGACTTTAGGGTAACTTGGAGTGACACTCTTTTCACGCATGTTTCCCCAGCAGTGCACGGGACAACAAATTACACCCATTTACGCCAGTTATCTATCCGGACTGAATCTTTTTGGATAAACTTTCAAACATGTAAAGCATTTATGGTAAAGGTTTAGCGCTGTCATCTTTGGCAGTCCCTTTTTACGCAAGTACAGTTGTTTCGAAAGCAAATTTTGAATGATTTGCCAATTTTGAAAACAAAAAAATATTCAACCAAAACATTATCTAGCCAGCCAAATTTTCGAACTTTTCTCAGTTTAGACCATCATCCGTGTTAAATATTTATATTTCAAAAATTCTTTCCTTGATTTTTTGTGCCCATTCAATTTTAGAATTCAAAAGTTCCCTCCGTGCTTTTCTTTTCTTATCAAGGTGAAATTTGCACAAGAAAGGCCAAACGGGTTTTGTCCAGTGAAAGAATGACTCATTTTTCTCTCTTTTTCTCCAAAACCTTTTCATCTTTTTTTTTAGCTTTGCGCTCAGTCTTGGCTCTTCTCTTGGAAACATTGTGCAATCATCATGAAGAGAACTGCCGCCGGGAAACCGAAACAACAAACGACGATTACGGGTATTTTTTAAAAATTTAAGTTTTAATTAAGCTTTTAAGCCAAATTAGAAGTCGTTTGCTACTACAGATTCATTTTCAAGTAGAGTAACCTAAATTTATCATTTTACTCACCTTACTTACCTAATTCTAGAACAATAACCAACCGTGAACAAGCGACGTTTGTTTTAGCACAAGTGTGTAATTTGTGTGCATGCAAATATAAATAGGTCACTTTACTTTTGTGCAATTCTTCCTTACAGAAATGTTCAATGGGAAGCAAAAGTCCGCCTCGGGGAAATGGTCCGTCGATGGAAGCGATCTCATGGTTTTTACGACGCATGGTGTCGAAGCTCGACCGAAAATAGCATCTTTCGATTTGGGTATTCTAAAAATAAGCTTTTTTGGGTTTACGCTTTTCTTTAGATGGCACGATTATTACAACAAAATCCGGAAAAGTTTTCCCCAAAGACGAGACCGATTGGGTGATTATGGATCCTAGAGTGGGTATTGAAGTAATTTCCTTAACTTGTTTTTTATTAGATCACGACGAAGTTGAAAGAACTGCATACTGCTGGCGAACACAAGCTTGTATTTTTCAGCAATCAGAATGGCATTGGCGTAGGTTTTTGATAGTTTTTATGAACATACCAGTGTTTAGAAAGACCACATTACGCCAGATGCTTTTAAGAGGAAAATTGAGGCAATCATTGAAAAGCTGAATGTACCGATTCAGGTATGAATTGATATAAATTTTAATTTGTACGTTAATTTCAGGTTTTCTTAGCACTAAGCAAAAATCGATACCGTAAACCTTGTATCGGGATGTTTGAATACCTGCAAGAGAATTGTAACGATGAGCAGAAGGTGCTTGTTTTATTATAGATTTCAAAATTATAATATAGTAGATCATTATTTTTAACAAATTTTAGATTTCGATCACGGATTCGTTTTACGTTGGAGATGCTGCCGGAAGACACAAAGCTAAGGTTTGAGAAAGATTTACTAACAATGATTAATAACCTTCTTAGATTCGGGCAAAGAAAGATCACTCTGCCGCCGATCGTCTCTTTGCCAGCAATGTTGGGCTGAAGTTTTATACGCCGGAGCAGTTTTTCTTCAATCAAAAGGTGAGTTTTGGAATAAAATGCTATTTGTTTTGTTTATGTCCAACGTTAATTCCAAATTTTCTAATTTAGGAAGAAGAGCCCTGGGGACCGATCTCTTTCGATCCAAAAGAATATATCAGCAGACACTTGAGTCTCTTGGAGCCAAAAGGTAGTTTATTAAGACTATTTTTTCATACTTTTTGTTTTTAGATGCACCTTTAGCATCCGAAGAGAAGGAAGTGATTGTTCTTGTTGGATTTCCAGGCATGGCTTTGCTCATCAAGTTTTAAGAAATTGTGTTTAGGCTCTGGAAAAAGCACCCTTGCCAAGATGCTTGCTGAAAAACATGGGTATATTTCTCAGTCTTCGATAGCTCAAATTTCTCAGTTTAGTTACGTGATCGTGAATCGGGATACACTTGGTTCTTGGCAAAAATGTGTTCAAGAAGGGAGAAGGGCTTTAGAGGTAGATTGATTGGAAATTGTTTGTCACCATCAGTTTTAGAAAGGAAATTCCGTTGTGGTGGACAATACAAATCCAGACGTTGAGTCCAGGTAGATATTTGTTTGAACTGTAACACTTGTTGTTTAGAGAGCGTTACATTGCCATGGCTCAAGGTGCAAAAGTTCCTTGTCGATGCTTTGTCATGAACACCGATTACAATATGGCGGTGAGTTTTGGGTGCAGTTGATTTCTAAACTTGCAATATTGGGTACAAATTGTAGGCAGATTTGTAATCTTTATAGCAATGCTGACATGAACAATTCGTTAGCAAGAACACATTTCATTTTTTTGTCAGATTCGTCAATACCATATTTATACGGCTTAATATGAACAATTGTTACAGGCTCATAACATTCGCTATCGTCTTTTGAAGAAAGCTGGCTCCGAGATTTCCACGATGGTTTTGCGAATGCACTCCAGTAAATTCAATGTAAGACCAAGAAACATTCATTTTCAACATGTTTTATCAGGAACCATCACTCGATGAAGGCTTCTTGTCAGTGTCTCGAGCAAATTTGATACCGACTTTTGCCAACGAGGAGGATAAAAAATTGTG